GATGGTCGTTTCCCCTTGGTCTGAGGGAGGGAATTGCAGTGTTTTGTCTACGAGGATTTACACTTCTGTTCCTGTCCTTAAAAAGACGCCCGGCCCCTCAAGTCAAGCAAAAGTACAGATGGTCCTCAGCTTATGATTGCAATTCAGCCTGGAATTACGGCCGTGAAGTTGTTGCAGTTGTTAAGCAGGTCACGTCATTGAAAATTATGACCACCTGATTGTGGGAAACATAAATGGTCCGAAGAGCAGCCCTGGTGAAGGAGTGGTTGGAATACAGCATTGTAGGCTGATTCTGCCCACAGCCAGCAGTTCGATTCTAACCGGCTCAAGGTTGACTCAAGTTTCCATCCTTCTGAGGGCGGTAAAGTGAGGACCCAGATTGTTGGGGGCAAGAGGTGATTTTGTAAAGCGTTTGGAGAAGGCTGTAAAGCACTGTGAAGCGATATAGTAGTGGTATTGCTACTCCTAACAAGATTTATTAACAGGATGCTAGTTTGTTTTTGATTCTTACAACTTTCCTCTTTGCCTTTGTGGTGCTATTGCTAAGGTGAACTGCTTGCCAAGTGCCCAGAATGTGATTTTATGCTCATGGGTTGTGTGTGAGACCAGCATAACGCCGAGAATGGATTGTAAGTACCTTGAGAGGGTGGGAGGGTGTCTGTCATACCTTTGAATGAATTTTGGTGATTAAGCAAGGACTTCTCGTAATGTGGCTAAAAAGTGACCGCTTGGCTGAAGAAATCCAGTACTTCAAGCTGGGCTTACAGGCAATCCTCAACTTACAACAGTTCATTTTGTGACCATTCAAAGTTACAACGGCACTGGAAAAAAGTTGACCCATGACCATTTTTCACGCTTACAACCACTGCAGCATCCCCCGGTCACGTGATCAAAATTCAGATGCTTGGCAACTGGTTCATATTTATGACGGTTGCAAAGTCCTGGGATCACGTGATCCCCTTTGGCAACTTTCTGATAAGCAAACTCAATGAGGACCAGATTCACTTAACAGCTGTGTCTCTAACTTAACAACTGCACTGATTCACTTAACAAGTGTGGCAGGAAAGGTCATCAACTGGGACAAAATTCACTGAACAAATGTCTCACGTAGCAACAGAAATAAGTGATTTTAGGCTGTCATGCCAGCAAATTGGTTGGCAATATAACAGAAACCACATGGACTATGAACCCATTTATCCCTGTGATGCCCATGAACTCAGTTATTGACCTGCTGAGGGATGCAGTTAACAAGAAATCGTCAAGGCAACATCTCCCCTCAAAATATCTCCTAACACCCCCAATGTGTCAAGAAGTTATCTTTGAGTGGGTAACGAAGATGTGAACGTTCAATCTGCACTTCTCAGAGGAAGTAGAACAGAAGCGTGTTTTTTGACTTAGGAAAATCTTGTTGAAACTAAATATGCAAAATCAAAATGACTTACCGTAAAGTGTCAGATGGGTCCTGGGCTGTTTTGACAGGATGTTTAATCCTCACTCCAGTCTCAATTTGTTTTTTGCAAAGCTGTATAAATTTCATTCACAATCATACACGAGACGTTCATGTGCAAGATTTTGGCTGTACCAGAAGATACAAGTTATTTTCATTTCAGCTTTTTAAGTGAGCCTGGAGCCATTTTGGGGGGGTGTAAACCACTGAGCAGGCTATTGCTTACCGTTCAAATATACTTGACTGCCACTGCAGAATCTTTCGTGCACCTTTGGAAGCTTTAGTGCAGATTTCCCCTTTTTTGTTCTTGCAAACATCTCAATCAGAAAAAGAAAAATGAGGCTTGTTTGTGTAGCTTTCTTGGTGAAAAAGCAGCTGCACACGAGAACAGAAAGCAACTTTGTACCTTATTTTGTAAAGAAACCGGTCATTTCAGCTAGGTAGAATGCAGAGGACCATTGATGATCAATATTGTTTATTTTGAATTATTATTCGGCCCAGTAATAGTGTTGTTTGACCTTTGTTTACTGTTACAATAGTCAAGGCACTAGTTACTGCATAAATTTAGGATTTTTAAAAGCACTTGGGGCAGGGTACCTCAAACTCTTCAACTCAAACCCCTTTATGGATTTATCAGATTGCTCATTGACCCTCAAACAATTGCATAAAAATGGTTTAATACTTGAACTAATGGTGCTCCAAATAATATCAACCCCTTGGCACCCATATTTAGGGAACTAGATAGGGGAATATCTAACAATGACAACGTATCAACGGGGCAACGTATTTCAAGATTTAATTAACCCCTGGGTTTGACACTTCTTAAATCAAGGGATGTGCTTTTCCTGGAAAGAAACCTGTTAAAGACAGCTTGCCTTTTGAAAGAGACTGGGATGGTCCGTGACAAGGTGGGGGCGAGCGGTGCCCTCTAGCTATGCAGAACTACGTCTCCTGTCCTTGCCAACTGGCTGATCTAAAATGGGTGCAAAAATGAGAAAGCAGACCAGAAGGGAATCACTTGTATTTTTACATGGCTTACACGCATCAATAACCAACATGCAAGTCAGGATTGCTAACTGCAGATTTGAGCTTTGGCTGTGAGGGATTTTCTTTTAATCTCTTTTTAAAGAAACCACAGAGTTTTGGAGCTGGTGAACCAACTATTTTCTGCACTGGGTTAATGGCTGAAGGACCAGGGAGGACGGCTTCTCTTTCATTCTAGCAGCAGCTGCTTTGGGACTCTGATGAAGAGGCTACAGAGATCTGTTTCTCTTAGTCCCTCACTCCTTTTTAGATCAAACTGAGTGTGGTTATTTGAACTGACCCTCTGATGGTGCTGCAATTCTGCCTCCCACACTTTCAGTGGCCTTCCGTTGAATTACATCACCAAAAGGTCTAGCCAGATTTTTGGACCATTTGAGAAGTTTTTTTAAAAAAAATCCTTTTTCATAAATAACTCAGGGCAACGAAAGTATCTAACACATCTTCCGCCTATTTTCTTCACAAGTGGGCTGTGCAAAGAGAGGAACTGACTCAGTCACCCAGCCAGCTTTCGTGCCAAAAACAGGACTAGGATCATTTACTGGTCTCTGGCCTGATGCCTTAACCACTAGACCAGGGGTGGGCAACCTTGGCTCTTTTATGACTCGTGGACTTCCAACTCCCAGAATTCCTGAGTCAGCCATGCTGACTCAGGAATTCTGGGAGTTGGAAGTCCACGAGTCATAAAAGAGCCAAGGTTGCCTACTCTTGCACTAGACCAAACCAGCTCTTTTATCTCAGTGCACAACCTCTATTAAAAAAATGATATTTTTTTTATGTTAAAGTCTCAAGGATAGGCAGTGGTGGTGGGGTGGACCTACCAGGTTCAACTTACGACCACAGTCGGGTTCAAAATTTTTTGCTGCTAAGCAAGATAGCCGTTTTGCCCCATTGGTTAAGTGAGTTTTACGAGCTTTCTTGCCAAAGTTGTTAACTGAATCCTTGCAATCCTCAAGTTAGTAACACGGTTGTAAAGTGAATCTGCCTTCCCCATCGACTTTGTCAGGAGGTGGCAAAAGGTGATCACATGACCCCCAGGACACTGCAACGGTCACAAATGCATGCCAATTGCCAGGCATCTGAATTTTAGGCGTGTGACGAGGATGCTTGCTACAGTTTTAAGTGTGAAAAGCAGTTATGTCAATTTTTTTTGAACGCTGTTATAACTTCGAACAGTCACTAAGTGAAAAGTTGTTGAGGACCACCTGCATTATGTGGAGGTGGACATCTGCTACTCCTGCCTTCTCAAGATTGCTTGCCTTTACTCAAACTGTTTTTTGCATTTACACCCTGCCACACTTACTGCCCCCCCCTGCTGGTGAACACAACTCAACTACAGTATGTTCATTGAACACAGAACCGATTTCCTTTTGACTGCCAACACTGCCACCTTGTGGGAAGACAGGGGTTTTTTTCTCCCTACTTGAATGTTGGGCCTGGAGGAAAATTACACTTAAATGATAAAAGCATGTGAATGACATGCTGAGCAGGCAAGTTCCAGCAAGAGCACTGCTCAGATTACTCCTCTGCAGTTATAAATCCTAGGGGGGGGGGGGGGAATGACAATGTAATTGATTCAGAAACCATTTACCTGCAGCAGCACAAGATCGCCGTGGTCTCCTTCCTATCCATGGACCGAAAAAATCCCCTGGAATGGTGGAGGAAAACCCCACATTTAATTCCACCCCACCTGAATTATTGCTTGCAGAAAAAAGTTACAGGCAGCAGTTCATAACCCACAACTACTTCTTGGGAGGCACTGGCTGCTCCCCCTTCAAAAGTGGCCTCCAATTATGATTACTGCAACAAAAAGCTGTGCACTTGCATGTGGGAAAGTACGTGAACTATTAAGCAAATTAATACTAAATCAAACTAAACTGCTTTATCCTCTTTCCTGGAACCAGATCAGAAAAGGTCCCAACTGGTGAACAGTTGTTTATAGGTTCTACACAACAAAACAGGCACTATGGGACAAAAATACGACATTTAACTCCCTCACTACCAAGAAGTGCCATCTGGAGTTGCATTAACATCTTTTTAAAGGGCCAAATGAGAGCCTAAAGCTTAGCGAACTCGCACGCTCTGTTGTGACTAAGCTGGCCTGGAGGATTTTGCATTGGTATTCAAGAGAGGAGATGATGACGCAAATCCACAGGAGAGGGTTTACGGCTAACAAATCATAGCAACAGAAAACTGAATTCTGCAACATATATTGTACAAATCACAAAGGCACGCTTTTCTTCTTGAACTATCCACCAGTAGCTTTTTTTTTTTTGTAACCAACTGAAAAGGCAAGGAAATCTAATACTTAATAACGAGAGGTTTTACTCCTCTGTGCATCAGCTCATCCATTCAGGGGCTTCTGGACTCCCACTGACGTTGAAATGGACATGAAAGCATCCTAAAGAAATCTTGAGACCCGCGGCAATGCTATGCAGTTCATAAACCTCGTTAAGTATGCCCTTTCCCCAATTTCTTTCGCAGTCAGAACAAAATGGAAGCCACCACCATCATCTTAAGAGAAACATTTATTAGAGGGTTGCCACAATCTGTGTGAAATATAAAGTCCCTTATAAAATACTCGGTTTGCAGCTCTCTAGAAATCCCTTTACCAACTCAGACCACAATCCCAAACAAGGATAAGCTTTCTGCAGTAATAGTGGTAACTTGCTCGTAAGGTCTGCTCTAGAAGTTTCACAAGATAGGAATTTTATAGCTATGGAAACACTGAAACCTGGACCTAATAAAAATATTAAATCACATACATTTGGATCTAAGATGTTAAGAAGTAGGTCCAGTAACCAAAATACCAATGTAAAAGCTTTTAAGAATAAATGTGCTTAGCTATACAACTAAATATCACAACAAACAGAAGGGAGGAATTAAAAGTAGTAAAGTCAGCTCAAGATAGGCTCCAAATATACATACAAATTTAATACAGTAATTGCACAAAATGAAAAAAGCAATGTTAGCTGCTTATGATTATCAAGGTTAAAGTTACATGCTTCACAAATGAAGTTTAAATAAAACCCTTAAAATGTTGATGTGTCTTTTTTTTGTTTTCTTAGTGGAAAACCAAGTGCAGAACATTTTTATGAAGCTAGAAACTAATGTGCAAACTAGAGATTAATGTATTAGGTTTTTGTGAGAGAGTCAAGTAATGATTCGATTACATGTTTATGGAGGAACTGGTATTTGGATTTCAACTTGTTTCTTCAGTCTAAAACAGACATACAGATGTTTTTAAGAGAATAATCCATTTTGAAATGTTACTATTCAAAATTGAAGGAGCTGAAAAAATTAGCAGCACCACAAGTTTCAAAGAAAAGCCTATTGTGGATTTAAAGGGTTTTTTTTTCTTTTCATCTAAGCAATTCACAGAAAAGGAAACATAAGGCTTTTGATTATCACTGCACATTTAATTCTGAAACTGAAGGTGTAAAGCTTGGAGTTTTAATGAAGATGCGTGATTGTCATTTTCCACCCTATACTTTTCATTGCTGACAGAACTTGGTTTCAACAATAAACACGTTTTCAAAGTGTCGGATTATGTGGCACTTTTCAGCAGAGCGCTTTTGAAGGCCTAGAAAGACAGGGGAGAAAAAAACAACACAATGCCAATTATCCAGGGAACAGGAGTAGGTCAGATAGAACAGATTTTTTCTTTCCACAGACTACAGATGTTCCAAGTTCAGTCATCCAGCATGAAAGACTTCCCAAAGCATGCGGGCTGTGGAATTCTGGGAGTTGAAGTCATTTTAAAAGTTAAGTTTGAAAAACTGAGTTATAATGACTGGCTGTAACTGCTTAGGTACGCCTACTAGAGCTTTAGGTCAATGAAAGGGGGGAAAAAACAGGAAAACCATGTTCAGTTGTTATTAAAAGGGTCATCACCATGAACCTCATTCTTTGGACATTGGGGGGGGGGGCTAAGACTGCAATATGGAATTCGAAGTGTGCTCTTCAAGCTGGCATTGCCTTTTTATTGTTTCCATCTTAATGGAATGCTTAGAAGCCACATGAAGGGGCTAAAGATGTCATTTGTAGGATAACTCTCCAAAAACAGAACAGAATGGGAGCAAATTTGAGGTAAAGCAAGAAGCCCAGCAACAGAAAAGCTGAGTTTAAAAAGAGGACTGTTCTGATCAGGAATTGCAAAGAAAAACATCCCTCCCATTAAACTCTAAGGAAGTTAGGCAGTGGCTCAGAATTTGGTGATTCACAAAATAAGGTCACCATTATCTGTTTGAGAGCAAATCCTGTGCAGCTTTGCCCCTTGTTTCCCAGTGCACATATACAAATGTAATGTAGAAGAGGAAAGCAGAAACACCACAGGGAACACATTAATTTACCGTGCCTAAGGAAAAAGAATTAAGCATCCCCTTCACTGCTGGTAAAAGGGCTAGAAAGAATTCTAGATGTTTTGCAGATTTTCCGTACTTTTGTTTTACTACAGCACTGGTGGTCACAAGCAAAATCTTGCAAGAAATGGTCATCTATTTATGAGATCCTTAAATGGCACCTGAAAATGTCCTGGACAGCATGTGCCAAAATGTCACCCACTGCTATCCTTGTAATAAGAGAATGAACATGAACTTGTAAATATGGCCATAGTTTTTCTATATTATTTCCTATGCTGCAAGTATGGTGCTATTAGTCAGTACTCACAATGACTTGACTGCTAATTCTATCTGACAGCGAGCCCAAGTCCACTCTCAAACATTAGCTTTCAAGAGGCAAGTGCCAATTTTCAAAGGGGGATGGATTAAAGTACTCAGCAAAGATGCTGAAAGGATCTAGGGAATCCATCTGGGGCATGAATACAAGTGCCAACACTGGTAAAGTGGGCTGTGTAAGTCATCTCAGCTGTTTGGAATGCAATTGACCACATAAAAATACTTAAAATAGGAGCAGCAGGATTGCAGAGGTAATAAAAAAAAAACCTCCTACTTCCATGTATATAAAGCACAACCAAACACTTTGCTCTTAGTTTAAAAGTTTTTATAAGCTGAGGCTGTGTAAAATGGTATAAAAGTAATACTCTCCGGTGTCCTTCACTACTCAGGGTTACTGAATATCAGCCGTATACTCAGCAAAAGACACAAGCGACTGTATAAAATTGGGTGCTCCAATATTATGTAATAGGCCCTACCTTTCACTTTGTTAGCTACTAAGGAAACCAACTCAAGTTACACATTCCTTCTCACCACACCCTATCCCATACACAAAAAAAAGGATCAGCTAGGAAATGACTGCTAATCTATCTGGCACCACTACTTAAATCTTATAGCAGCCTCACGTCCTGGAGAACATTTGCTCTCTTCTGTCTAACTGAAGATAATAGAAATGGTTCCTGATTCTCTAAGGCCTGACTGCAGCTAAAGAACAGAATTTGGGGTTAGCTAGAATTGAATTCAAAGTTTAGGGGGCTCTCGATATACCCATCAGGAATAATAGCTGGATCCTAGTGAGGTAATTCCTGGTGGAAAATCCCTCCATTTAACAAACTCACTTCTTTACTGAACTTTTATTATTCCCGTGGCAGCTTTTCCCCTTAAGATTAGAAAAACACACAAACGCCCACTCTAAAACGCTCAGCAATTTTCCCTTTCCCTGGTTTCTTTTTCATATCCTGAAATGCAGTAACAATTCAAAATAAAACACTCACCAATGATCTTCTCTCTGCGCTGAAGTCTGAAGGTTTCCTTCCCTACACAGAGCTGGTAAATGAAGACACCCAGTTCTGATACGTTATCAATCTCTTCAGTCACAACCATTTCCTCACGAACAAGGTAAGTCTGAGGCAAGTAGGAACCCGTCTGTGTGTGTGGGGGAAAATACCATTCTTAATACAGACATTTGGGATTATTCAACCAAGACCAAAGTTACATCTGAAGGCAATTAAGCATGTTACAGAGGGTGGGGGATAGAGGATACTCTAAAGCAGGGGTAGGCAACCTTGGCTCTTTTATGACTCGTGGACTTCAACTCCCAGAATTCCTGAGCCAGCGAGTCATAGAAGAGCCAAGGTTGCCTACCCCTGCTCTAAATGGAAGCATGCATTGGTGAATACCCACAAGTTCAGATGCTTCAGACTGTTGTGATTTAAAAATGCAACTCATCAGTTTGCACAGGATCTTAAAAGTCACAAGCTCACCAACTGTTCACTGCAGCGATTCTAGAAATGACGCAAGATGGTTATTCTAATCTAAACTTTCTCTGTGCAGATGTGCACTGCAGCAAGAATACGCATATATCCTCCATGCTCCATTTAATTGTTACCTACCGCTAATTTTGCAAAAAGATCGATCAGGTTCCGTGGTGGCATAACGATAGAGGTGTTCAGAGGAATCACGTAGCAGTTACCAAGCTGGAGATCAAGGTAGGCTGTCAGGAGCTACAAGAATATAAGGGGAAAAAACATCTAGTGATGGATTTTCAATTCTGCCACTTGTTTCAAATCAGCCTTTTGCAAAAGAGTGATGTTTTACTGCAACACAATTAACACAATTGATTTGAAAACAAAACTAACAAACTTTGATTATGCTACATCCCCAAATTGTTCTTTTTCAATGCAACAACGTTCTCAATAGGAAGCTGTTCTCACGGCAGCAATCTGTAAACACATTTCATTTTTGCAACCCAACACATGATAAAACTCCCAAGGTAAATGTGGAAGACTTGCTTTCTATGAATCACATTAACTTGTGACTTAAGATTCATGTTTAAGAGGGAGAAAATTAAGATGTCATATCAGTAGCACTTTTATGTAAAACAGTCAGATGAGTACTGCAGATACAACATATCAAGATGCCAGGAGGGACAAGCTGCATTAAATATGGGATTATCACAAGAGCCAATTGTTGCACGACAGCCTGCATAGTACGAAAATCCAAGGGGATCGAGTGATCAAGAAAAAAATCAGGTTAAAAATAAGAGGGTAAAATGGAGGACAATACTGGATTTCCACTTGTAACATTCTCAGATAATGAAAAACATTGAAACTAACCCACTTTCCTAGGTTAGGGATTAAACAAACAAGGAAGCAAAGAAGAGAATCACATCTTTTCTCTGTTTCCAAACTGGTAACGTTGCCTTGCAGTTATCTTAACACTGACTGGAAATGACTATAAATATTTCACAGGATTAGACATAATAAGGGAGCAGCCCTATATAAGGCCCGCTGGTTAATTGGCCGTGCTAAGCATGTCTAAGCCTGTGCAGTCCCCATGTATTTTTGTGAACTGCAACTATGCTTTCAGAAATAAGTGTTTGTTATTCCCAGCCAACTGTATGTAGAGGAAACAAGATTCCACAAGACTAAAATTACATTTTATTGAGGCAGGCCAAAATAAGTCTTGAATATCTCCGCATCTTGCCTCGTCTTCCTTATACTCCAGGGAGGTGGGGAGGGGTAGTGCGATCTCTTTGTAAGACTCTCCCCCCTCTCTGGCCTTACTGCATGCCTTTTCTGCACCTGGTGTTTTCCCAGCAGTCTCTAGGTCAGGGGTGTCAAACTGCGGCTGCATCATACAGAGGCTGCACCCACCCCAGCTCCAGCAATGCAAAAAAAAAAGTCGCAATATGTCATGTGATGAGTTTGACACCCGTGCTCTAGGTTCTTTCTCACGGTCATTTCCCTGCCTTGGTACCAGTGGGTCATGCTATAGGCACAGGCAGCTATCCCAACTTGGCGCGTTCCCAACCCTACACCCACCAGTTCCAGCCATGATTAGGCATGATGGGAGTTACAGGCCAAATTCGTTGAGGGACATCAGTTTAATGAATGCCTCCCTTAAGATATAGGAAACCTCTACTCTGAAGAATGAATCGTTCCTCCTACATTTGGCAATACAGTTTTTCCTGGAATTTGTGCAATTAGGGTTCCTATTTTGAGATTTTCTCCCAGAAAGCACTAATAAATATTACTTTACATTTAGTATACACATGTTGCTGGCACTTGAAAACTGAGGAGTGGGGGAAGAGGGAAAAATATCGAAAAAGGGGAAAAGCATCCCCTTATTAAAGAGATTTCATCCATCAAAATTATCTACCAAAAGAAAGAATAAAAAGAACCCACACTAAGTACCACCACCCCCCTGGTCCCCTCCCAAAAGACTCACTCTGTCAAAATCATGCACAATAGCAGCCGGATCACTGTCAGAGAATTTTGGAACAGGTACATCAATGATGGCAATGTTATCTGCTTCTCTGATATCAGCTTCTTCGGCAATGGGCAGGAAATATGGCTCGGCGGCCTGGGTCCGATCGTCTTCTCCCACGTAACACATTTGACCACGGAACATTTTGTTCTTTAAAAAAAAAAAAAGGAATCGCCAGCTATAATATTCATTTAAAGGCACAGTAATTCATTTTATAGTTCAACTGTCTCAGAATTGCTTAAGTAGCTTCCCCTGAATGGGCAAAGAAAATGGTACCGATTCCATTTTCCCCCAAACCTCTGCAAATATCGAATTATTAATGGATCCTGGAAGACCACGAGGAGAGATCAGCCGTGATGTGCGCTGACCGCTGTTTGGAAAAGGACTGGAGTATGATAACCTGCCTTTGAAGTGAATTTTTTTGGCTCACCAAACAGGAAGGAACACAAAGAAAACTTCCTCTTCTCAAGCCATTTGTTTACGCAGAGAACACAAAATGGGGGAAGTGACTACAGTCACACAAAACCTTTTGTCACTTCTCGATTCAATTACTGTTAATTTGCTTTATATGGAGCTATCCTTAAAGATGATCCAGATATTTCAACAAGTGTGGAATACAGCTGACCACTGGATAACACTGCAGCACGACACTTGTTATAGCAGATTCTTTGATTGCTGCCATTTAAGCTACCTATAAAGCCTTGTAAGACTGAGAACTGGCTACTTTAGGAACTACCTACCTGGGTAGAATCTGCTACCCAATATACAGTATAGGAACACTAAAGGATCTCTTCTTATCAAGGAATGATCATCCCAAAGGAGATTGTTAAAAACTGGATTGTTTTGGAAGACCTTCAAAGACTAGCTGGCCATCATTACTGTGCCTATTATTGAATGTATGCTGCCTAGAGTTAGATTGAAGCAATTAAAAATCGGGGAGATAAACTCAGAAACAAGTGGGATAATAAACAACTCTCCAATACCTTTGGCATGAAATATTTGTAGATGCAGGCTCCCCCAACCACTACTCCAGCTAAAATGAACGCAAGTCCCAAAAGAGTCAGCAGACATCTTCCAGAGGAACCTTCACGGTTGTGTGTTGCAACTTCTGGGTCCTTGAAAACAGAGAAAAAGCTGTTTTAAATTTTCTATTGTCTTAGAGATGAAATTATCTTTAATTACTATTGTCCTTGAATCAGTAGGGTGGCATTACCCTCGCAAGTGAAAGATAATGCTGAGACACAACAGGGTTTTGGCCCAAGGTTACAGTGTTTGCCCTAAATACAAAGATAAGATTCAACTGGCATTCCACCAAAACACTTGGTGTAAAAGGTCATCTTGGCAGGGGACAAGATAAAGCAAAACAAAAGAAAAGAAAAAAAAAAACAGTATTTCTCATGGCTTCACAAATCCAGCTGCCAAGTCACATAATGTAAATATTCCTCCTCTAATTTTGCCATCAGATTATAGATTTTTCAGCATGGCACTGAGAATTAGGATTACTCGGGCATTAAAAAAAATGTAAGAATGCTCTGTTGCAATTTGAGGCAAGAAATATTAAAAGCCGTTTCTAGTTCTAGTACTCCATTTCCTACAATTACTGTCTGGTTTCCACCTATCAATTGTGGTCTTTTAACTATCCATCCTACAGCACAAGTTCATAATGGCTGTGAAGAGGAAGCATTTTTAGATATGCTCAGAATTCTTTGGAATTATGTGAGGGCTTTTTGCAAAAACTCTGGTTAAAAGAGGAACTGCAAATAACAAACAACAAAAAGCACAATTCTATGGGGAGGGGGGGATAGAGTTCTCCAGAACCCAATATATGCAACTGTCACAGATTTGTTTCAATGAACAATGCTAACCATTGCAATTATTTGAGCCTCTTCAACAAATTAAAGGCCTAGATTTTACTTGAATTTACCATATTAAAACAATTATACATGTTTTCCACAACTATGAACAACTCATGAAGAGTCCATATGAGTAAAATACAAACTATGAAGGTGATTTTGTTCAGATAATGGATCCTATCTTGAAAAAATGTTTTATTTTTTTTTAATGCTGCTTTAAATGTGACACTGGCTAGCACAAGTACTCCAGTCAAAAGTCAGGCATAAAAAAAATCATGCTGCAACTTGTCTGGAGCCATTACGCTGACCTAGAATGAAACAAAATGAAAGCTAACTATCTGTGTAAGCAACACACACAGATTTCTTTATACTTCACTGGAAATCCCCAACAAACCTTCGGTATCAGCAACTGACACAAATGCTAATACAGCATTTCATAGTTCAAGGTAGTTAAGTATCCCTGCCTACAGAAATATTCTATTTACTTGGATCATTCAGTCTTAAACTCCCTTACCTATGTATCTAAGGATTTATAAAATAGAACAAAGGCTCCAGAAAGTATATTTGAAGTTCTGTAACAAAATTCCCTCAATAAACATTTAAAAATGAACCTTTATTGTTACGCCATTTTAACTTCCACTTTCTGCAAGGCTTTTTTTTTTTGATGAAGTTAAAAAATATATCCAGTTTTATAAACATTCTTCTAAGCATTCTCAGAACAAGACTGGGGTGGTGGTTAATGCATCAGACCAAAAGCAGGGCGGGGCAGGGAACTAGAGAGAAGGCAGTTGAACAAATGCCCAAAACGGTTTGGATTGGTGTAGGTACCCATTTAAACCCACAATTCTCAGTCATCTAGGCAGTGTAGGGATTACTATTGTTAAGTCCTGTGATATAATGCTTTAAGATTGCATTGTTTTGTGATGGAAATTCCAGTCCCAATTATGGTCAGATGTTGAGGACTATTTTGTACTCCCATAACCTGTATTTCAAATTAAATGTCTTTAAATATTTATTTACTAGCTTTTGTATCTTATTCTTTGTTCAGAAACTTATAAATGCACAGCATTTTCTCATCATCCCCCCCCCCCACAACATAGCTGCGAAGTAGGTTCAACTAAGAGAAGCCAACTTGGGCGACTGGTGAGAGAAACAGAAATTTATTCAACACAATGATACGTTACTACAGTTCTGATTATTTGGAAGCCTGTTCTATTGCCGCCACTGGCTGATTGGTGTGCAAATTCACAACTGCTAAATTGCAACAAAGATAATTCAGAGCAATGCTTTTGTGCTTGCAGAAGCTTCAGATGAATTGCAACGTACTGGAAAAGCAGGCCACCCAATTGTTACTGGAGATTTGGGGGTGGGGAGGGAGAAGAGAGATATACTACGTGCACATTTTGGCTCAGCAGGTTGTCATCTGACTTAATACAAAAGTAGATTAAGCGCACAGGAAACATCTGTGACAACAAATAAAGCAACTTTCCTATCTGATGTTTGACAGGGCTCCCTATAACCCATGTTGTCTGGCCACCAGACAGGAAACTAAGTCTGTCTAATCAAACTACCACTGGGTTAGGTAACATTTGATCTTTATCATGTTCTGCTAAGGGAAATCCTGGGTGTGTACAGAGCTGGCCTTCATATACAACATGTTTAGGTACACAGCTTAAGACTGGTGTTGCCAACATAAAGCGTAAAGGCATTCCTGTGCTTGCAGACAGCTCTCTAGGCAATGCCAATATGCCTATCCCTGGCCTAGCCCATCCCACTTTACATGCAGCAATTTTATGACTTTAAGATGGGAAGTCTGCCTACTGCAAAACAGAGGTCCAATTTCCAGTTTCATCTTCATATCCAAGACTCCCACATATCCTACTTTTAGGAAACAAAAATAAACAGAGAGGATTCTACCATTGTTTTGTTTGGAAACACACACATCTACCCAGAAAAAGAGCAAAAGAAAACAACAAATTGAAAACAAAAGAGTGTTCAATAGTTGCATTTTGACAAATCGTGCTTTGAAATTGAGATTTGACAGGGATTCTGTAAATAGGCAAGTTAATCAAGATTTTTTTTTTAAAAAAAAATCCCAACATGCCCATCAGTTGAAAAAAGTTGAATATCCCTATTTTAAAAATATGGATCCATCTATAACACTGAAACCACTGCACATTTAAAGAGGTTAGAACTAATCCCGTATAAATCTGATCTTAAAGCAGGATTTTCTTTTTTCATTAAAACTGTTATAGGACAATAATCAATGGTGGGACTCTTTCAAAAATGATGCTACGTCTAATGGGGCTTAGGAAGACTGAGACTCAAAAACCCTCCCCTTTATTGTGAATTTTATGCATATTATGTTTGGATTTAAAATATCCTGTAATCCACTATGAAATTGGCCCAGTTTCTTGGGTGTAGAGATTTTATTTTGCATAAGCTGAAGTATTACACTGAAAATAAAATCAGTTCATTAAAATCCATTATCTATTAGACAGTGATACATGTAACTATTCCCTGTGCAGTTCTTTAGCCCACTAGCTTATATTTTGGTATCCAGTTGCGACTGCTAAATTGCTATCCTAGACTTTTCCCTTTAAGCAATTAAAAATTGATGTTACACAACCTTTACAATTTCTGGAACTTAAACAGAACTCTACTAGTGGAATTTTGAAACATGGATCAATGGTAAAACTATTTCATATTTACACTTCTTACATAGGTTTAGGCATGTATTTTGCACAAGATTAAAGAATACGAGCATCCATTTCTGTGCATTTCACAGTAGAAGCATTTTACATGCCCTTTTAAAGAGAACTCATGTAATATCAGTCAAGTATATGATCTCGGATATTAGGGACAAACCTTGTCACAAATCAGGAACTTTTAACTGCCTGAAATTGTCCTGTATATACAAGCAGCATGAAAAGAATGTTTTCAGTAACTTCCAAACATAATCAGGCACAAACATGTACACTGTCAACAAAACTTTTACTTTTTATAAACTGGAATGACTCAGAGTTGTTCTGAAAGTGAAAGCAGACACAGGAAATCAGATAATTTTGCAGATTTCATATATATACTAGCATACCTACTGAAAATAAGCACAGCTTAGACTCCTTAAACTGTTCAAACCAAATGCATGATTAGACAGTTGTGAATTTTGCATGTGCATGCATAATTGCCTAATCTGTTGTTTGCCTAATATTCTTTCCCGTCAAAAAGCAAAATACAGATTAGGCATTATTTGTGCTGTTAGTTATGTGCCTTGTAAAATCTTTCAAACTTCCTTCCAATTTTAATCAAAAATCCCCATCAGCATGCATTCCAAAACCATTCAACATGTAGGATCAGTTCTGAAGGAAAATTTGTTTTTAGCACTACCAAGTTTTCAAAGCAAATTGCAAGTTTTAATATAGGCCTCCAAATTTATTTAAACATGCTAAGGCCAAGATAGAAATCACTAATTTCAGTAGTTCCCACCTTGTGAATTAAGTATCTTCAACGAGATTATATCCTAACCCAGCCTTGACATCACCTACTTTTTAATAGGTTTTTTAAAAAGAGGATTTTTTTGTTTATAGGTCAAATAGTTCCTAAAATACCTTTTGAAGCAAATATAATCACATGGTATTCTCATATAAGGGCAGCTAAAAAAAGTAATCGATTGTAAGATATATTTTTCATGCAAAACTAGTATTTTGCAAAGTAGTAGGAGCAAGGATAATCTGAAAGCATTTGAAGTGGTTAAGGCTGTTACAATGAAGGGTTCATTAATGGAATTGCTAGGATCTTAAAAAGCTGTTAAGGAAATGCTACAAACCAGGAAGAAAGATGAAAATCCATAGTATCCTCATTATTCTCTTCTCAGACCCAGGAACCTACTTCTATATAAGCATGAAAAGGATTAAAGCTTCTTAAAAAACCCTACACTTTGAAAGAAAAAATAATACCTGATCCCCATGCTAACATGTTACGATTATTTTAGATTTATATCTTTATTTTCAACTTGAAGGCAACTTGTTTCCCCTCTCCCATTTCCTACCTTCCTTCCATGGCTAACTTTTTTTTTAAAAAAAGAATTTCAATTTAGAAGGGAATGGGGAGCTGTTATGGTGCAAAATAATACACCACTTGCAAGCCTAAATTTGTATCTCCCAAAATATCTCTAGGCCCCACTCCTAGACAAGGCAGAACTGCTACTGCTCAGCATAAACAAACAGAACTAATTAAGAAAAAACCTGCAACTCCTGTCTCTACTTGATTTTATTTATTAAACTTGTATGCCACCCATCTAGCCAAAGGCCCTCTTCTGCCTTCTTCCTAGTCTTGAAGGATCAACCCATCAACCAGGGCAGGTTTCACTGGTGGATTAAGACCGATCCTCAAATTAGGCAGAAGGAAGTATATTCTGTATCTATTTATATAGCTCTGTGACTCTACTCACACCAATCGAGGATTAGTCATACTAACACACACACAAAAAGAGCAGACTTTAGTATTATAAATATCTAACTACGTACAATCACGATCAGCCTTCCCCTCTCCCCCACTAAATCCTGCACACAGAACACAAACACACCAAGCCAATAGGCACAGAATCCTATGAAGGGAGGGGTGGAAAGATGCCCAATCAAAGGTGATGCTGTGGTGGTTGTTAAATACCAGTTAAGATGACATGATGGTCCACGAATCCCAAATAAGTGGAGAATCGTCTGCACGCCTACAATGCTGGCCTATATATTATACTTACCTCAAAAGGAAGCCCACGTTATATGCGCAGACCCAGCTATAGACGTCGTGGCATGTTGACCCTCCAGTCCCACACGTTACGTTCCAGAATTGCACGGATGTTGGTGCAAGGCGTGCATGCACGCAAGCACGCGCTCACACGACCCGGTTGCCTTCCCAGCCAGCAAGGGAGGCGTTGCCTACCTGCAGCGGGGTGTGTGTGTGTGTTTGAGGAACCTTAATTTATTGCATTTCTTTCTCCAATTTATTGCATTTACTTATTCAATGTATTGCATTTCTTTCTCCAATGTATTGCATTTCCCCAATGTATTGCGTTTCTTTCTCCAATGTATTGCGTTTCTTTCCCCAATTTATTGCGTTTCTTTCTCCAATTTATTGCATTTACTTATTCAATACATTGCATTTCTTTCTCCAATGTATTGCATTTCCCCAATGTATTGCGTTTCTTTCTCCAATTTATTGCCTTCCTTTCCCCAATTTATTGCATTCCTTTCCCCAATTTATTGCCTTCCTTTCCCCAATGTATTGCATTCATTTCCCCAATGTATTGCATTCCTTTCCCCAATTTATTGCATTCAATTCTCCAATTTCTACACCGCCCAAGTGGGAATTTAACGAATAGATGCATTTACTCCCTTCCTTTCCCCCCCCCGCCCCATGCATAGTCTCGATAAATAACAAACTCGGGTGAACCAGTCACGAGAGCCCCGTCGGGGGTAGGGTGGGGGGGAAGAGTCAAGGGGCCGCAATTCCTCTTTCGGCTCCCTCACGCTCCGACGGAAGACTACAAAGCCCATCCCTCCCCTCCCTCCCTCCCTCCCTGAGGCGGTTGAGGGGCTCCGCCATTTTGCCCGGGGGAGGGAGGGAGGGAGGGAGGGGGGGGCAGGCGCGCGGGGCCGGCCGCTGGCCCCCCGGCACAAAATGGCGGCGCGTCGTCTTCTCCTCACCTGCTCGGCCACCAGGGCCTCGGCCGCCTCCTTCTTGGGCTCGTCCTTGTGGGCGAAGGGCGACTGGAAGGCGATCTTCACCATGGCGGCGGCGGGGGGAGAGCCGGCTGTGGGGGCCGCTTGTGAGGGGAAAGGCTCCTTCGCAGCGAGGCCGCCTCCGCTGCCGCTTCTGCCTCCGCCAAGAACGGTCGAAGCCTCTCCGGGAACTGCGCAGCGGCCTCTCCCTCGCTGGGTGGGCGGAGCCTGCGGCGGAAGCAAGGAGGGGGGGAAGAGAGGGAGGGGCGAGGGTGAGCTTTATGCGCACGCGCGGCGGGGCCTGTTTCCCTAGGAACGCGCTCGGTGGGGGGCGGGAAAGAGGGAGGGCGTGGCGGAAGGCGGGCCTTCGCCTTGTCTCTCTCTGCCCGGGCTGGAGGCTCGAAGTGCGCATGCGCCCGGTCTTCCCTGCGAGCCAGGGAGAGGAGAAGGAGGGAGGGGGAAAAATAAAAATAAAATAAAAAAGGAGACCGGACGCGTGCGCACTTCGAGCCTCCAGCTCAGAGAGAAGGCGAAAGGGCCAGAGGAAGGCTCCGGAGCGCCCCCTTCAGGCAGAAGAGTTTTATATTTAGTTTTATTTTCAAGAGTTAAGAACAACAAAATAGCAGCTGGAAAGAGTGGCTTTGGCTGAGCTGCAAACTAACCACGGGTTTGAGGATGTGGTGTAGTCTCAACGAAACCTGGTTCGCCAGACCTAGGAAATGGGGGTTTCAGTTTGGGAAGCTGCGGTTGGTTTGGTTGGCTGGGAAGCAAACAAGCCGCCATTCAAACTGCAGATTCAGAAGAAGAGAAGGGGGGTTGTAGAAGGTCCTTAAAGTGCAAGCATGAAAAGGGGCAGAAGTATCTTTCTACCTCGGCCACAGATTCTACCATACATTAGAGCAAGGGTCTCCAAACCTGGGCACTTTTGAGACTTGTGGACTTCGACTCTCAGGATTCCTCAGCCAAGGCAGGGACCTAAATTCTCATTTATTCAATAAACCAAGATTAAACAAATTGGTGAAGCTGCTCTGGAGAGCCACTTCAGTTTGTGGATGTCAGGGCTAAAAAGGTTCTCGTCTTCTAACTTCCCAAGACTTATTTGTAAAGGAGATTAGACCGTTAGGATGGATTGGTAGCCAAGCATGAACAAATGGCTGTTGTGAAATGGATTAAACAGAAAACAAATGTGGCTGGCTGTGTTTCATTACTATAACCCTTTTGCGCCCTTAGCAGATCTTTAAAATGGTGATGAAATACTGGAAGGTTGGTGGTAGGGTTAGGCAAGAACAGCACATTGCAACACTTTGCGGGAAGAATCAAGATCCAACAGCGACTATTTCATCTACAGCTACTGAAAAGCCATCTTTCACCCTTTTCTCCCCCTCCAAAACCCCCCTGCAAAATCTAACAATGAACCCCCAAGTAATCTGATTTACTTTACTTGCTCTTTATTCATTCCCTGGATGCGCTCCCAGGCTGTATTAAGATATGTTTTACTTCAACACGGTCTTCAGTGAACCAAAATTGGATAGATGGCTGTAAACCATAGTAGAAGCCAGAGGGTTTACAAAAAAATGGTTGAGTTTGTGCCACACAGCATGCAAAAGTAACTAACCTTTGTCTGTGAACACAACCAGTTTTCCTCTGTTGATTTTGGCTTAGCGCGCCAGGTGACTCAGTGGCTTATCCCTATCATATGTGAACTCTGCCAAATGTAGCTTATTCAAAAACATGGAACGTATCTTGGAATAAAGATATTGTTATAAAGCTGGAATTTGTTCCTAAACCCTGTCTGGGAAAAAGAACCTATGTTTTTACAGAAACTGCAGAAGACGTAAAGAAAATGCATTGTATATATTGCTAATCTCATAAGCTTGGCTGAAGCTTGGAAACGGTATGTAGGACCAGACCCTTGTTGTGCTCAAAACTAGTTTTAACCAGAATTTGCCGATATGATAGCTACTTCAGAGACAACCCCTAGGAAATAATAGCCATATAAGGTAATTTGTAAATAAGGGCAGAGGGGCCATAGAATTTGAGGAATGTGAGATGTAATCAGGGGTGGAGAAATAATATATTCACTTTAGGCACTTCGGATAGGTTGTGATGACCTGAATACTCAGCCAATGAGGAAAGGTGAGAGGTAAATTTGTGACTGTATTAGGGAATATAATGAAAGCATATTGATGATTTAAGGTATCTACTGTACCTGCATGTATGTGACACACCCTCTTTGCAAAGTAGTAAAAATAAGGGGTCTTGATGGGTCGGACACGACTTCGGAACTAACAACAACAAAAATAAAAATACCATTGTTTCCTCTTGGAAGTTTTGGCTGGTGATTGTTTATTCCTAACTAGACAATGAATCCCACAGCTGTTGTGAGTGGCATCATTGGAAGAAGACTGACATCAAAGGAAAGCCTTCCTTCCTTCCTTCCTTCCCTTTCCTGTTTTGCAAAGTTGGAAAGGGAATATTTCTGCTTTAATTTCCACCCTTAAGCCTCTTCCATCCTGAACAAACTAAAATTTTATGGCTGAAATTTGTTAACCGAGTGGCCAAAATTTAGCCATATGATTTTAGGTTATATTTCAGGCTGGAGAGAAAAGAGTTATGTAATAAAGATGGGGAAAATTTACTTCATAGAGGATTCTATTTCTGTTTGTCAGGACAGGAGGAAACAATCATTTTGCAAAAAAAAAAAATATCAGCCATTTTGGACATGCAAACTAAAGATGCTGTGAGGTGTTGTGTTTAGATCAAGGCTTAGCGCCAAGTCTCAGTTAGATCACAGTTTAGATCTAACTGTTATTTCCTTACATTGTATTAACCTGCCTAGATGAAATGACCCGGATCATTTCTTGACAAAGATAAAAAAAAAGAAGCTCTGAGTGCATGCAGAAAGCCCGTTTTTTCTTTTAATTAATTTAGCAGTTATGATGGGTGAATTATTCTCAGCTGCTCTGTATTGTAAGTTTTAATATTTTTAAGTATTCTTGTGATTGTGGTTATTTTTAAATGTTTATTGCCTAGAATCACATGGTGAGATGGGTGGCCATACAAATTGAATGAATAAATAAAAACTGCCCAGAGACAGAAAGAGCTGAAGGCTAAGATCCTTTCAACATGCTCTTCTATTTGCTTTTACTCTAACCACCCTTTTGACTTTCAAATAAGATATATCTATTTTTGAGTCGCTTGCATTTGCAGCCCAGGAAATGGAAAATTACTTTTGAACTGCTGAGAAACAAAACAATGCACCAGTTGCAAATAGGTTATCACTAAGGAAACCACAGATCAAGTGTGATCGGAGAGGAAAGGCACGTTATATTTATGTATGATTTCTGAAGATAGTGTAGCAGAGTGTGAGGCGTGTTATATTTTTATCCCTAAAGATCTCTGATACCTTCAAAAACTACTTTTCAGTCTGAAATAAGAGAGTAATAGAAAAAAGGAATCCTGCTGAAAAAAACGTGTGAAGTTCAACAACCTCTTAAAATGGCATCTGAAGAGCAGTCAGGGGTTGGGTTCAGATATCATGCTAAGCCTCAACGGAAGTCTTGGTTCAGCCATTGTAGCCCTATAAACCAAAGGTAGGCTTAGCAGAGTGGTTTGTTCAAGAAATCATGGTTAACAAGGCTAAAACATATAAGGAACAGTTGCTGGAATTGGGTATGTCTAGTTTAACGAAGAGAAGGACGAGGGGGGACAGGATAGCAGTGTTCCAGTATCTCAGGGGTTGCCACAAAGAAGAGGGAGTCAAGCTATTCTCCAAGGCGCCTGAAGGCAGGACGAGAAGCAACGGATGGAAACTAATCAAGGAGAGAAGCAACCTAGAACTAAGGAGAAACTTCCTGACAGTTAGAACAATTAACCAGTGGAACAACCTGCCTCCGAAGCAGTGAATGCTCCAACACTGGAAGTTTTTAAGAAGAGACTGGACAGCCATTTGTCCGAAATGGTGTAGAGTTTCCTGCCTGAGCAGGGGGTTGGACTAGATGACCTCCAAGGTCCCTTCCAACTTTATTATTATTATTAAGTCTGAAACATCCCACCGAAGGGGTTGAATCTCAGTTTAAGCTGTGTTCACATCACACACACATGGAGTCCTTGATTTTACAACCACATTTGGGATCAGAATTTCTGTTGCTAAGCAGAGTAGCTGTTAAGTCAGTCATGCCTGAATTTTAGTTGTTTTGCCACGGATAAACAAATTGTTGCCGTTAAGCGAATCATGCAGATGCTAAGTGAATCCAGCTTTCCCCATTGACTTTGCTGTCAAAGCTGGCTGGGAAACTCACAAATGGCAATCACGCGACTCAGGTACTCTTCAACTGTCATAAATACATCCAAGCCAAATTTTGATCACGGGACCAGAGGGATGTTGTGATGGTCGTAAGTACGAGGATCGGTTGCAAGTCACTTTTTTTCAGTGTCATTGTAACTTCAAACAGTCACTAAAATAATGGTTGTAAGTTGAGAACCACCTGTACTGAATCATAAACAAACTGCTCACATGTTACCCACTTATTTTTTTGTGACTGTAGGTTGTGTGATTATTGTTCTGTGGGCCAGGCAAACCTGGAATCATGAATAAGCCATGATTAAGATAACTGAGTAGGTGTGTACTGCAACACAGTCCAAATCTCTCTTTAAAGCAGCGGTCCCCCACCTTTGCAGCTTGGCGGCCCAGCTGGGGGGAAAGGGGAACCAGTCGTACGAGCAGTGGGCCAGCACGCACATGAATGTGTGCGCAGCTTGACTTGTGCAAATGGAGCTGTATGCATGTGTGCATGTGCGCCGGCCCACCACTTGTGCAGCCCGTTTATGAATAGGCCATGACAATAGTGGGCTGAGGCCCTGCTTTAAAGGATTTGGACTTAAACATGAAACCAACCAGTGTTATTTCCAATGTGGCTTCAATCGATTCACCTATTTTAAATATTCTAGTGTACATTTCAGTTGAACTATTATTCCCTAAAACATAGAATAAATATGTCCTCATATACTGAAGGAGACATGACTTGGCTTTTTTCTCTCCAGTCACAAGGGAGGCACCGGAAGTCAGAATGTCAGATTTAACTGAACTTCTGCAAACTTTGTTCTTTGTCCTCAAATATTTTGTGGCATCAAGCTCCCAACCTTATCCTTTATTCCTTCCTGACTTGTTTTGTGCAAACATCATGATAATCAAACAAGCTCTGCTTCCTTC